AAAAAAGACTTGAATCACACTTCCAGAGACAAGGTTATTTTATCCTAAGTTATTGTTCTTTTAAGTTTTCACCCACTTAATTGAGTTGTGTAATTTAAGATTAACTTGTTTAATTTATAGTTCTTTTCTCTTTCTTGGAAAATACTACAAGAATATCTGCTTTCTCCAAAAGAAATTATCCTGGTAGAAAGTATTGTTCTTGAAAGATGAAATAGTTTCTTCTTTAGCTCCTGATTAGATGTTCCTGTTGCCTTTTAGAAAGGATGGCCTTCATTCTCATTCTAGATCCTGTTAGAAAATAAATGTGTACATCCAGAAGACATAGCTAAGCCAAGCATGATTTCTCTTTCTCTTGTGAGAATGGCAGTTGTTCAAGTACCTATTGGTTTTGAGGGATCTAGGATTAAGTGATTGGGATTGTGGAAAGGAGATGCTGGTTTATCTTCCCTCTCCCTTTGCCTAGTAATTTGGGGAAAAGGCAGCCCTGCAGGCAAATGACACAGAGCAAAGTTTCCCAAAGCATGTAGCTCAAAGATGAAGAGCACAATGGAGAGGAGATAATTCCTGTTGTTTCCAGAAGACTTTGTCCTTATTTTCATGTTGGATCCTCTGAGATGCCCTTTGCGTAATTGTGGTGGGTGATGCTTTCATTTCCTGATGTTCAATTAGAGTACCAGTTGATGAGTCCTATAGGGTACATCAGAGCTAAGGTCTTCTCATGTCAGAACTTTTGCTCTTTCATTTACATTGTATTTGAACAGATCCGGTAAATTGTTACTTGACCTTCTGAAGCTCCAGAAGTTTCAGGCACAGGTCATCTCCCTGCTTAAATCGCAGAATGACATGGTGTCTGCATCTACTTAGTCATGATCCTGTAGGGAAGTACTTTGTCACTCTATATGCTGGAGTAAACCTTTGTTTATTTATAGAAACTGTATTCAGATACTGGAAAGTAGAAAAAACTGCTAATAGCTTAGCCTTTGCCTCAAGACCATTTCTTCTAAATACTGAGCTTCTTATTTTTCTAGTAAATAGGTGGGTAAGTAGTGCTGGATTTCTCTGTCCCTGCTGTAGCCTGTTTTTTTAAGGGCAGCTTACTCTGTGCCAGACCCATAAGGTTATTCCTGAAACCACAAACAAGGAGAGGGTTTCTTTGGAGAAACTACCTGATTTTTAGATAAATAGAATTTTCCTTAAGAAAGGAACATTGGCTATGTTTAGTGTAAACAAAATGCTAAGAAATCATTATGTATTACCAATGCTTTGAGAAGACTTGGGTCATATATCTGCTACTAACTTTAATTCTTAGTTTGTCATTTTTGTAATAAGACTGGGAACTAGTAAGAAATGCTGGCTTTAGATCATCTTTGCATATGTCTGTAGTGCATAAGTTCTTCAAGAGAAGAAAACATTTTTTCTTCTTTTCACTGAAAATAATTAATAGCTATTATGATCATGTGGTTGATCGTATAAAAATATTAAATCAGCTTATCTTTTTTTTTTTTGGTACCAGGGATTGAACTCAACTATTGAGCCACATCCCCAGCCCCATTTTGTATTTTATTTAGAGACAAGGTCTCACTTAGTGCCTCACTTTTGCCTTGAACTTGGAATCCTCCTATCTTAGCCTTCTGAGCCTCTGG